TCGAAAAATGGATATTATTACATGATTTATATATATAGATTTTATTTAACCAGTATTTACCCTAATTTTTTTTTCTCTTTTTCATTTTTATATAAAAATATATTATTTTTCATTATTGTACGCTAATGCGATATATGTTTACTCATAACATGTTGAGTTATTATGAATTTAGATAATTATTTTATTTTCTTTTTAAATTTTTATTCTTTTAAATAAAGAGTTTAAAAGTCCAAGCATGAGCTACGTGGATAAGATTTTCATTAAAAATGTATTCTAAATCTACATTTAAAAACTTTAATAACATAATAATCGAACTTGTATTTGTATACACATACACGATGTCTGCCCAGTGAAGCCGGTAATTTGCAAGAAAAACCTAATGATGTTCTATAAGTCTACATAAGGAAGAAGGGGATCAAACTTAGCTTTTTTTGGGCTTTGAGAATAACCTTTTGGTTTAAACTCAGTTTAGTTAAAAAAAAATGTTCTTGTTTTGTTATTAATAGGCCTAAACATAGGATATAACTTTAAATTATTTGTTCTACTTCACATACGTCGCACATTGTACAAATGATAAAAGGTAATAATATCAACTAAATAGTAGTTTTATATCTAATTTAATAATTGATATATTTTAGGGTACTTTTCTGTATTAAAATATTTATCGATGTAGCAATAAGCAGCCTCATCAACAGTAGTCATCAAGCATCAATCGATTGTCAAAAAAAAACAAAGATAAGTAAAGCACTTACCGTAAACCGGTTGAGGTGTTCTTTTTAAAAAGAATCAAGTCTCAAAACCCTACATGCGCTGTAGATAATATATTTTCATTTAGGATATTTATACACAGTAGGCCTCTATATTACAGTGATCCGTTTATAATGGGCACATTGTTTTAATTCCAAAATGTATCAGAAACATATTTATCGGTATACTAATTGGGTCAAACAACAAATTTAAAATGCAGAATTGTTTTTTTTTTCTTTGCAATATAAAACAATATAAAATAGAATCATTTCAGTTTCAAAGGCGCGTCGATTTCGCGTTGTTGGATGACGTATTTTGATGTTTTGGGCTAACCAACATTGCTTAGTGGCTTCACTTATACTTATTGCCAATAAGCAATCTAGCCATTATAATAGAAATTAGTAGGTTGAATCGACAAAAATCAGAACATGTCCTCACACAATTGCTTCGGCTTCGTAAAAATGCAGAAACTGGAATAATTAAAACGCCAGCAATATAGAGAAATGCACGTATAGCAATTATTTGTGTTGGTAATATGCATAGGTCTAGTAACATGGAACTTAAGTTCACAAAAAAATTGCCTTACTCACAGCTGAAATGAGAGAAAGTTTTTTTTTTACAAAGGTCTAAGAATTATTGTTATTTTGAAACAACAAGTATCGTAATGAGATGTACTATGATTCCGAGAGGGAAACGCTGAATTTTGGCCTTGTCCCTTGAATGCTAAAATGTGGTTTAGGCTAAATCTACGTTAACCAGAAAGGCCGCCGACAATTCTTCCTAGGGTCTTTTTATCTAGGAAATTACGCCGTCTGCTCGATAATTATAGTCATTAAAATAACTACTTCAAATTTTCATAATATGGCTCTGGAGAAATAAAAAAAAACCCCAAATGTGCTTTTAAAATGTTAGCTGCCAGCTACCAGTATACTCGCCCACAGGTTGTTGCCAGGGGGGACGAGTATACGCGTCAAAATCTGGGTAACATTCTGGCGTTTATAACTTCTTTGCTATACATTGTAGAACCACAGACTCAACGGCTGGTAGTTCGGGGAAGATACACCTAGACGATAACGTACAAATGACGTATGTATGTTGTTGTGTTATGTTGCCGGTAGTACACTCGAGTGGTACAAGTGGGGCGCCCTTATATACCCGCCACATAATATTTTCCCGCCAATTTATTCGACACATCATTTAATGATAATATGACTAGATAAAATTTCAAATAAGTATGTTTGTACATGTAAACTTGCTTTGGCACATGGGAAGGAACCTTAAAAAAGGTCTGGCAGTCAACGTAATAAAGAAAAGAAAAGAGAAAGAAAATTAATTATGAACATTAGCTTCGGCTGGATTGCGGTTGTGTTTATATTATTATTGAAATCGAATATGTTTTATACTAATTTTAAATCAAAATTTCTTGTAAAATTCCCATGAGAAATGAATGAACACAAATTAAATATCATGGTTTGACACGAAAGATCAAACGATGTACTTATAGCATACATAAACATTGTAAAAACAAAGGCATTAGATGACGAATACGTCATTATCAATATCGTCTTTCGTGCCTAAACATTCTTGACAATATATGAGCTTAATATTATGATAATTGATTCATGTAAAAGGCATGAATCGCTTTCGTTTTGATAGATATGCTACTGTAGGGAAAGGGGTGTCTAAGCCCTTCCTCTACAGTATACCCTATTGTGATTCAAAATGTTGAAACGTTTTCAGGATATACCTAGACCTATCATAACTGATTGTAAACTTGTTAATACATACTTATAGACATACATAAAAAATGTTATATTGTGAATTGTGTGTAATTGTATCTATTCTTTTGATTTTCCTAGTAAGTTAATTAAAAAAAATTCAAGTACTGTAAAATGTATCATACGTGAAAGAAAAGAATGAGAGTAACGTTGAAAAATGAACGGGAGAAATTTAAGAAGAAAACAAAGAGGTGAAGAACAATTATGAAAAAATGAAACAGGGAACTGAAAGGAAAAGAAATGAAACAGGTAAAGTGCAATATGGAACAGACAAGAAAACAGAAACCGAGAAAAGAATAGGGAAAATAAATGTTTCAAACGCAAAATTTTAATTTAAATAAAACAAAATTAAACAAAATTATACCGATGATGAATTAAATAGTAAACTTAAGTTAAAGTGTTTTTTCCTATTTGAAATATGAGAAATAGGCCTAATGTTTGAGATTAATATAAAAAATATACTTGCTGATTGATACTGCTGATGCTAAATTGGATAGTTTTAAGCGTTGTGTTATAAAACCAAAATTTGAAGGTCAGTGGATTTTAAGCCTATGTCTATGTTTGAAGACTATTAAGATCTAAACACGGAAAGTGACCAAAATCGAGGGAAGAAAAACCATGTGAGTAAACATAGGGAAACTTGATAAAATAATGAGAGCAACAATATGTCTTTTCCGTTGTTGCTCGAAAAGTCAATAATATACCATCTTTAGAAATAAGCACAAGAACACAGTGGTGGAGACGATTTTAGTTTAGCAAAGACGAAAGGAATTTTTTGTAGATTTTCAAATGCCAAAACTTAAAAGCAAGAGTACAGAATTGCATGAGGTCCAACTGCCCTGGTTTTGATGCACACAATGAAACGTTTTTAAAAAGTACTACCGGTACCACGAGATAGGGGGCGCCCTATTAGAATTTAGACTTCGAAACTCCGTTTTGAAGGACGCCCTTATAGTTCGTGGTAATACTTTTTGAAATCGGATTACGTTCCAACGATACCCCGATTGTCGGACCTCTTTTAGTTTTAATACTCTTTAATTAAAGTACTCGTAAATATAAATACTCTTTTTGTATCGTTCTGAGCGGTCTTTTTACCGAGATTATGAGAGTGTGTTGTGGGTATTTTTGTAAAAATTATTCCCCACACTGCATCAACCAAGGCCGATCACTGCTCTCTTGTGAGGGCTAGGTTTTTAACATAAAGGAACATAAATGTTTTTATATCATTCATTCAATTTTCCAACAAGTATTACATTGAAAACATCTTTTTTCCTATAGACCTACTAAATGTATGGATCAACAGAGAGGCAACACTTTGCTAATCGGGCCCTTCTCTCTTCTAATAATTTATCATTATGAAACCTACCATCCCAAAACCAGCGTACGTTAGCTAATTAAACTGAGTAAATAGCAAAAGAATGTGGCAGTATTGTATACTTTAGTACAGAGAAGCTGTAATACTTTTACTCATAATTTTGACAATAGTAAGTCAATTTCAGTAAATGACTGATCACTGATACTGGTTATGGAATTAATTTTTTTTTTTGAGCACTGAAATTCTGAATACAAATCAGGCAGTACACAAAATAAGCTAAAGTTAGTTTTCATAGTCATTTTGAATTTTTTTGTTTTAGTTTTTTTATTTGATTATTATTATTATTATATTATTAGCTTAGCAACTTTTCAAAATATTTTTTAACTGAGAAATCAGGTTTGATAACTGTGTTTTGTTCACATGTGAAAAGAATTGAGTCATTTGCAAATAATCTAAAATTGAAGAAAGATGATTACTTTGGTAAATCATTGATAAAATGCAAAATATGTGTCCATCCCCGCACAAGGCCCTGAAGGAGACAATGCTTTTCGCAGAAGAAATGCACCAATTATAATTTAAAAGCTGTTTTCTATTCCTTAAATAACACTCAAAGCATTTCTAAGTAACACCTCGTGCATTAACTAGTTTTTTTTCTTTTAAAGTAAAATGCTGTGATCAATCATGACAAATCCTTCAACCATGCCAATGAAAATACCAATAATTTGTCTTCTCATCTAGCTAAACAAGTTAACGTTGCAATTATTGTGTTACTGTAACAACAACGTTGAAAACGTTCACAACAAATACGATTTTTGATTACTGGGAGGCTATTGATATCTCAGTTACTAGATATAGGCCTACATGATGTTTTCTATAGATCTAAAAAATATTGTTATTATTAACTAGTCTTTCAAAGAGTTTAATAAACATTAACAAAACAGACGGTACAAGTAGGTAAATTTTTGAAACTTTAAAGGCATCTGGAAAATTCCACTAGCGTTTCGGTATGTATAATTGCTTTCTAAGAAAGGGATCATTAAGGAATCATTTATGTATTCCTTAAGTTGAATGTTTTTTTGACTAAATTAGGTCTAACAAATAAGAAAGGCCTAA